CTTCACCAAGTTAGGGAATTTTTCTGCCATTATTGTTTCAAATAGGTTTTCAATTTCTTGTTCTCTCTCTTCTTCTTCTGGCACCCCTATGATGTGAATGTTGGCATGCTTGAAGTTGCCCAGAGGCTCCTTACACTATCCTCATTTTTGGGGATTCTTTTTTCTTTTTGCTGTTCTGATTGGGTGTTTTTTGCTTCCTTACATTTGAAATCAATGGTTTGCTTCTTGGCTTCACCTACTCTACTGTTGAATCTCTGTACATTATTCTTTATTTCAGTTAGTGCCTCCTTCACTTCTGACTGGTCCTTTTTTATGCTCTTGAGGCCCTCACTAAGTTCACTGAGGTTCTCGCTAAGCCCAATGAGCATCTTTATAAGCAGTGTTTTGAACTCTGCATCTGATAGGTTGCTCATCTCCATTTCGCTTAGTTCTTTTTCTGGAGTTTTGTTCTGTTCTTTCATTTGTGACCTGTTTCTTTGTCTCCTCATTTTGTCTGCCTCCCTGTGTTTGTTTCTATGTATTAGGTAGAGTTGCTATGTCTTCTGGGATTCCTAGGGTGGCCTATTGTAGTGGGTGTCTTGGTGTGGCCTATTGTAGTAGTTGTTCTGTAGGGTCCAGTGGCATAGTCTCCCTGATCTCCCAGCTGGGCCCTCGAGGTGCACCCCTCGTGTGAACTTTACACCCTTCTGTTGTAATTGAGTCTTGATTGCTGTTGGCACATTAATGAGAAGGTTTTACTCAGGCTGATCAGCTGCAAGGACTGGCTGTGCCCACTAATCACCGACCTCTGAGCACCTTGGATGATCAGCTGTGCAGGGGCCCACCACACAGAGCAAGACTTACTTCAGCAGGGCTCTGGTACCCTGAGTCCATTTCTTGTGTCACTTGTGGAGGTGGTTGGGTGGTGGTGCTTTGATATGGTCTGATGCTGTTCACTGGGTGTGCTGGCTCTGGGGCAAGGTCAGCCACTGCTTGTGTTCTACCCAGGGCCACCAGGCATAAGCTGCAGATGGCTGCTTCTTGTGCTGGGTTTGGAGGTGCCCAGACAAAGCCAAGTTGTGAACCAAAGCTGGCTGCTTTTAGTCCCAGGCCTGGGGTCACTTTACGAGAGGTATGGGGCTCAGTGAGACCAGATGCTGCTTGTTTGAAAGACTTGAGGAAAATCTGAAGCAGGATCCAAGACAGGCCATTCCTATGGTAAAGCAACTGGCAACAGCTTGTGTGGGCCTTAAAGCTGGGGGGGGGGGGGGGGAGAGCAGGGCCTCAGGCAACCACCAGGGTGGGGCTTATAGTGTAAGTCAGGTTGCTGGAGTCCCAGATATGGTGGCTGTCTGCCTGCCCTTTGGGAGAAGGGCTCACCAAAGGAACAAAGGTTTCCACCAGTAGAAAAAGCCACCTCTCCAGCCCTTGCCCCAGTGCCAAACAATTCAATTCTTCCCCGTATGTCTCTGGTGCCTTTCAAGCTGCCTCCCCCATGCTGGAGCCTGGAGGGTGCGAGTCAGAGTAAATCTATGTGCAGGACCTTTAAGAGGAGCTGCCTGGGGCTCCAGCAGCCTCAGCCTCCCTCAGTCTCAGCTCCTGTTGGTTTTACAGCCAGAAGTGATGGGGACTTCTCTTTCTGGCACTGGACCCTGAGCTGGCCTGGTGTGGAATGGGGACCCCTCACTCCTAAGGGAGGACCTTCCCAGCCGAGGTGTCCCTCCTGATTTTTATCCACCACACGTGGGTGTGGGACCAGCCGTCCTCCTCTGCCCTTCTCCAAGTCTCCATGTGGCTTCTTCTTTAATTTCCTAGTTGTAAGACTTCCATTCAGCTTGATGTCAGGTGGTTCTGAAGGATGGTTGTCCTGTAGTTTAGTTGTAACTTTGATGTGGCTGAGGGAGGATGTGATACTGCGTTTACCTACCCGCCATCTTGACCAGAAGTCTGGGATACACTGCTCCTGTGTGAAAAGTTAACTACTTTTGCAGAGTCCAAAACCAAACTTTCTTTTGTCACCACCACTCAGCAACTCCCATCCTTTCAACTAATCAAAACAGCATCTTCCCAAAAGTGAACAAGGCACCTAACCACAAGCATCTTACCTTCTGTGTACACTGCCTCTGGCATCCCATCAGAATTCGTCTTTTTTTTTTTAATTCTTTTTTTCTTTATTTATTTTTAGAGAGAGAGGAAGGGAGAGGGAGAAAGATAGAAACACCGATGAGAGAGAACATCGACTGGCCGCCTCCTGCATGCCCCCACTGGGTACTTGGCCCACAACCTGGGCATGTGCCCTGACCGGGAATCAAACTGGTGACCTCTTGGTGCAGGGTCAATGCTCAACAACTGAGCCACACCAGCTGGGCAGAACCCAAGTCTTAAGATAGTCTACTGGCATAAGAATTCTTATACCTCTTATGTCTCCAGGCCTGATTATTCTGCCTGCTGTTGAGATTATCTCTTAAAGGTCCTTCCTACCTCGAGTCTTCATCCAGTACACAGAGGAGGAAACAGAGGCTCAGAAGTGAAGCAACATGTGCAAGGTTGCACAACTGGTAATAGTACTAGGTTAAAATCCAGTTCACTTTTGCCCCAGATCCAGCATACTTTCCACTGGACCACTTTTCATTGAGTTAGAATTTATGATGTCCTGCTATTGGCTATAGCTATTTATGAAACTACCTTACACCCATTATCAGATTGTAAGCTCTGAGGAAGATTACTTCCTTATATCTTGGAAAATGGCACTTCAAGAAAAGGTATTGAATTGAAAATGGGAAATAACCGTGACCGTGGTGATACAGGGAAATAGCAGCATAGGAGAGAGGCAGAAAGCTTGCAAGGAGGAGGAAGAGATGGTTTCTGAGTAGAGTTTGACGTAATGGAGAGAATTTGGCTAGGCAGAGAAGGGACTGGTCTGAGGCAGGACTCAAGTCATGAGTTTAGAGTTGAGGCTGTGATCCTGTGGAGGGTAGGGGCCCAGCATTTGTCCATAGGCTTCAACTATGCACACCAACCAAGTCAATTAACTTCTTTAGATGTTGGTTTCCTAATGTGGAAAGTGGGAAAAATAAGAGTTCTTACTATTTGGGGTTAATGTGAAGAAGAATAAAATATTGCATGTAAAGGATTCAACACATTGTCTGGACCCAATACATGTTATCTATCATGAATAATAAACACTATTAACATATTATTACTAATAATATGGCCTGAAAGTTTACAAATGCACCAGTCTACTCTCTAAGTAAATTATTTAATTTATACTCAAAGATAACGCCAGTGCTGTTGATAAATTAAGAAACAAAATCATTTAAAAGCACTATGAAATTCATAGGAACACTTTGCTTACTATGATTTTCCTAATCTATGGATTCCAGGAGCTCCTGAATGTATTTTAGCCTTACTAGGGATTCTCATAGTCGAAAATCTTGGAAACCAAACTGTTGAGAGGCAGGAGAGTGCTAAACATATTCTGCGCAGAAAATTCACTTGGCTGAATCACAGACTTTGATTTTTGGGAATAGGCTGACCTGTTCCACTTCCAGGCTATGCTTTTAAGGAATTTAGTGACATCCCTTATCTTTCAGTACACTGGTTTTCTCTTAAATAAGGATAACATCACTTCTGGGCTGCAGGAGGGATTAAGTTGGGTACTGTATGTAAAGCAAGACTTGGTAGATGATGATGACAGTGATATTTGTGAAGGCTAATTATGAAGGCCTGTTAAGCTCCTGGTCTAGAAGTGTGATCCCCGTAACAGCAATGTTAGCATCTTCTAATGACTTGTTAGAAATGCAAATTCTTAGGCCTATCCCAGACCTGCAGACTCAGAATCTCTGGAGGTGGGGTCAGCTATCAGTGCTTTTACAACCCCTCCTGGTGATTCCCTGCACTTAGGTTTGAGAACCTGTTGTGAAATGGTAAGGGAGCCACTGAAATTGTTCATCCAGTAAAAATTCTTGGTTAATAGAACTAAAATTGGTTAAAAGGAAAACAAATTCTTGGTTGATAGGGCTAAATGGTCTACCCACTCACAGGCTTCCACAGTTGCTGGAAGATGCCTGTTCATTTTTGATCCTTCGTGGTCTCCAGGCACAAAACCTGGGTCAGTGCGGATGACCCCAGACAAGACTCACCCGAGCTAGGTAACTCAGCACAAGGCATTTAGAGGAGTTGTTTTGGAAACTGTTTCCACCCACGGCTTTGGGACTTGGCAGGCAAGGAATGCTCAGCGAACCCCTCAACTACAACCGGGTCACAAAGTTGGCCTGGAAAGGAAGAGCAAGGACAAGAAAACCGTGTAGGGAAATCAGAAACGAGGGTCTTGAGGGTAGAGGAGCCGGTGGCGGGGAAGAGGATGGGGTAAGGGGGCGTGAGGAGAAAGGGAGGACCGCCCCCCACCCCGTGAATAGGTACACCCGTTTCGCGTCCCGAGGAGCGGGCCGGCCACAGCCTCTCCCCGAGATGAGCAGGGTCCGGCTGCCTGCGGACATGTGGGCACTGCCCGTGCGAGGCAGGGGCGTCCTCCCGGCCTCGGCGCCGAGCGCGGCCGCCCCGGGCCGTCTTCTCCGCCTGCGGCCGCCGGGAGGGCGCGGCGGGCCGGCCGGCCATTGTTCGGCCCCACCCCGGTGCACATTCACGCCACGCGGGCGGTCGCCCCGCGCCCTCGGGCGGGGCTGCGGTGGGAGCGCGTTTCCGCCCGTCCTTCCTGCCGGAGCAGGAAAGGGGGAGCTGTTTTCTCTCTCCGCGGAATATGTTTTCGGAGTCCCGCGCCGCCTCCTCCCTCGCCGCCGCCTCCTCCCGCCTCCGACCCGCTCCGCCCCCACCGCCCGGGCAGCTTTGTCTCGCGGCCTCGCGCTCACTCGCTGCACTCCCGGCGGCGCCGCGGCCCCAGCTCGGGCCCGTCTGCAGGCGCGCGGCGCGGGCGCGGGGCCCGAGCGCCATGGTGTGAGCGCCGCCGCCGCCCCGCGCACGCTCCGTCCGCCGCGCCCGCCGCCCGCGCCCGGCCTCGCAGGCGGAGACGGTGCAGCCCTCGGGAGCGTCAGCCTGACACCGGCGTCGGGCGGCAGCCGGGACAATGGCGAACGACTCCCCGGCCAAAAGTCTGGTGGACATCGACCTCTCCTCCCTGCGGGTGAGTGGCCGCCGCGGGCCGGCCGTGGGCGCGCGGGCCGCGGGGGCCGCGCCCTGGGCCGCCGGAGCTCGGGCGCCGCCGCGGGCAGAGCCGCGGGCGCGGCGGCCCCTTTGTCTGCTGGTGTCGGCCTGCGCGGGCCGGGGCGGGACCCCCGCCGCCGCCCCCGCCCGGCCCGGCCCGGCCCGGCCCGGCTCGGCCCGGCCCCGGGGCGCCGCGCCCGGCGGAGCCCACCTCCGAAGCCGCCCTTTCTCTGCTGCTGCCCCGCTTCTCCGGTTCATTGTTGTGCTCAGATGGTAACCCCTCCCTCCTTCTTGCCTAGGATCCTGCTGGGATTTTTGAGCTGGTGGAAGTGGTTGGAAATGGCACCTACGGACAAGTCTATAAGGTCGGTGTGAGGCGCCTTCTTTGTTTCCCGTGGCATGTCGAAACTTCTTGTCGGGGTCCAGGCTGGTGACAGGCGCGCTGCCGACCGCAGGCCGCGCCGCTCGGCCGAAGTTGGGACAGGGGCTTCTCCTTGCAGGCCGTCTGCCTTGAAACAGCCCCTGCTCAGACTGGCCTGAGAAGACCTCGTTTCCTGGCTTTGAGATAAGGAAACTACCACACTCTCAGGCACGCACTGTAATACAACGGGAAGACATTTTTTCAGAAGACAACCTTCATTTTGTTGTTTTTTCCAAATCTGGCCTTCTGAGTGTGTGTGTTAATTAAAATTCAGAACAGGCAGGCCTTGTCTATGATTATCCTAAACCACTGCCTTGGCCTTCTTGAAAATTGTCATCATGTTTCCTCTTTACAGTGCTTGCCAAGGGCTCGAGGTGCAGAGTTCGTGACACTGTAACTCGACCATACGTCATTCTACTGATGGATACACATTTTGGGGAAGAAGGGAGGGGCGTGTGTTTGGGCAACAGGAGCAGGAAGAAATTGCATGTGAGGATTATAGAATCTGAATTCCAGGAATAACCTGTTTGACAGGTGTGTAATTGAAACAGAAATGAGGGAGAGCTAGGACTAAGCAAGATGCCCAGTTTTTACACCCACCCCAGGCCTTTCTCTTTTTCTAAAACCCCCCCCCCCCCCAACCACACATATAAAGAACAGATCTGGAGACAGCCTGCCCTGAATAGCAGACACCTGATGTGGCTAGCATTGCTGATAATTTCACCCATGCACATTCTAGAGGTTATGAAATAGCTGTAGGTAATGGAGGCGCAGGCCTTGAACGCTTGAAGCACAATGTTAAGTTCTTCATGTCATGCTTTGTTTCTTATTACTAAACAATTTCTAAAAGTTATCTGCATTGAGGGTGTTTTCCAGCTGTTGGAGTGGGCACAAGGTTGGGATAGAGAAAGACCTTCTGAAGCAGGGCTTTGTGGCTCACCATGAAGAATTATCATTGTTTCATTGAAAATGGAGGAGGGGGTTTGGAAGCTGACTGTACACATTTTCTTAGGCCAAATTAAGTGTGGATCCTATTGTCTGTCTGCTGCTTTATGAATAGGGTTTGTCTGTCACTTGAACCCCTCTCCCCAGCCCCAACTTCCCCTGGCCTGTGGTCTGAACTTGAGTCAGTATTCTTAGGTGATCTCAAGTGAATTAGCCTGTGTTTTGTTGTTTAACTGTTGGGCCTGGGCAGAGGCCAGATTTTTGAATTCGAAAGGGAGCCCTGTTAAATCAGCCTGCTGGGCTCAACTGAATTTGGAAGCCTTTGGAAATTTTTGGAAAAGGTTGTGTTGCAACTCACTGAGTGAGTGGCCTGGTAACTGGCTTAAAGACTTGCCCCGAGCCCCCGTGTTTGTGTAACCAACAGTCGGTTTTTTCTAACCCAGTTTTTCTGGCCAAATCTAAGTGGTGAGTATACTCTTCCAAGTGAGTTAGCCAAAGCTTGTTTTTGACCTGGTTACACAGTGGTTGGGTTGTTTGTATCTTCTTGGGTCAGTATGGTGTGAAGGGAAGTGAAGTAAACCAGAAGCCAACAGTCTGCTTTTAACCCATAAGAAAAAAGAAAGAATGAAACCTGAATGTGTGTTAATTGGTTTTAAGAGGTGGGAGTTCTTTGTGGCAGCCTGGCAGGTTCATTAAGTTTTTACCGCTCCTCATTTCCTCTTTGGTTTTACCCCCTTCCCCCAAGCTTTTGAAATAGATTTGCGGAGCCCTGCTTTTGGGAAGTAGTTGGGATACTTGGCAGTGACACAACTCTCTGACTACAAAGTTTGTACAATTGAGGAGAAATTCTCAAATTATGCAGACTTAATGAATTAAAAGACCAGTGCAAAAGAGGCATACTCTCAGGAACAAAATAGTGCCTGAGGTTTTGCTCACCAGCAGTTCTATTTTATTATTTTGGTAAATTTTAACATATACAAGGAGAGAGAATAGATTACTCACTTAGTTTAACAGTTACCAGCACGTGACTAATCTGGTATCTGTGGTCTTCTTCCCTTCTGTTATCTTAACCTTTTTACCCATAAACACTTCAGGATGTATCTTTTTTGTTTTTTAGATAATCACAGTGCCATTCTCACACCTAAAAAATTAATTCCTTAGTGTCAGATAGTCAGTGTTAACATTTTCCTGATTGTTTCCTGCATGTTTTCTTACTATCACAGAAATTCGTTAATATTTATGAACTGGGAAGTTTAAGTCTTAGTGATGGTGGAGATAGCAGAAACAGTTAACATCTGCATTTCTTCTCCCTTCAAATGTGTGCTTTCTGGAACTATTTATTATGTATAGGAATTTGTTTAGGATATTTGTTGGCGTGATTTGCATATAGTGGTTTTGGGATTAGATTATTAACACTAGCATTTGTTTATTGCAGCTGAACATCCATCAGTGTGAATAACATCAGAGTTTGGAAAATATTTGTGACTGTTTATAAAGAAATTATTTTTTTCTTAAAGCAATTTCAGGTGAAACACCTATAAGATGAACAACCCATAGTCTTAATTTATTTCATTGTTAAGTTTTTCTTTCTTTCATTTTGTTCTATGAACTTTTTATGTTATAGTGATATTTGCTTATTTTAAGAGGACTGTATGTGAAGTGAATTAATAGAAAGAGGGAGTTTTTATATGTTCTGTGAAAATGGCCTTTTTGCAAAATAGTTTATAATTTTCTCTACCTCTAAAGAAATAATAAGCCCTGGCCGGTGTGGTTCGGTGGTTAGAGCACTAAAGGATCTTGAGTTCGATTCCCAGTCAAGGGCACGTACCTGGGTTGCAGGTTCAATCCCCCAACCCAGTCAGGGCAAGTGTGGGAGGCAACCAGTCCATGTGTCTCTTTCACAGCGATGCTTCTCTCTCTCTCTCTCTCTCTCTCTCCCCCTCCCTTCCTTCCACTTGTTCTAAAAATCAATGGAAAAAGTATCCTTGGGTGAGGATTAACAAAATAAATAAATAAATTTAAAAAATCATGTGGGTATAGTTGAACAGTGTATACCTTTATCTTAAAAAAAGGAGTTGAAACATGAAACACAGGATATATTCTATTAAGAGAAACTTATTTTATTTTATTAAAAAATTTTTAAAACATTTATTTTTGTTACAGATGTTTCTCCTTTTTCCTCCCTGCAGACACCCTCTACCCTATCCTGCCCCCTCCCCCAAACATTGTTGTCTCTATCCACTGGTTATGCATACATTTATATAAGTTCTTTGGTTTATCTCAGAAGTTTAATTTTTGCCTTAGGTGTTTGAGGGCTTATAGGGAAGGACACCTGTATACATTAAACCTTTAAAAAGTTGTGAATTTCTGTTTACAAGGTTTGACTCATAATACCACAAACTTATAAAAGCGGTGTCTCTAGGATGACCTTGTGCACGTTGAGTAAATACAGTATAGCGAATTTTTAATTATTTTCGTCAAAGGGTGAAAGTGATAGCTTAAAAAATAAAACCCAGAAATAATAAATCAAAATTCCTTTTATGTTACGTTGGATTTTATTATTTTAAATATTTTGACCCTTACTGTTTTTCTTGGGGTGATGCTGTCATTCTGCACATGTGAGCGTCCTGTGGCTGGTGCTCCAAGCTGTCTGACCCGGGGAAGGCAAGTGCGGTGTCTGGGAAGGTTCCGCAGGAGGGGCAGGGAGTTGAGGGGTTCAGAGCTGGGTCTGGAGTCAGCTCACTGCCGGGAGGGACTGAACCTCTGGATCCCATCTGACCCCCTCTTGGAGGCTGAGGAGAGCACCAGGCCTGGTGATGTGAGCAGAGCCAGCACTGCGAGGCTGCCCCCCCCATGTCCCCCAGCCCCCTGCGGGCACTGTGCTCATGCTGTCTCCCTCATTCACTGCAGAAAGGTGGGGAGGGGAGTGTGGCAGCAACGCTGAGGGTGATCTTTGAAAATGACAGGAGGGTTAGGGAGCAGTGGGCATCTTGGGGAGAGGTTATTTGTGCATGATTTGAGGAGGGATGTCATTTTTTGAGCATTGAGGAGCCATTGAAGTTTGTTGGGACTGGGGTCCCTGCGAGAAGGAGATTTGATCAGATGATGTTTTGGGAAGAAACAGGAACAATGATTGGCCTAGGACAACGGTCCAGAAGAGAGCAGGTGAAGGGGTGGTGGCCATGTGGTGGAGAACAAGAGTGGGGGTGGGTTTTGGGGCTCCACTGAACTTGGTGGATTCACTCATTCTCTGCAGGCTTGGTGTGGCCCTTTAAATGGGTGCAGTGCTGTCCCCCTGGATTAGGAGGAGCCTCGGGAGTTGTGCAAGTGCTAAAATCACTTTCCATTGCACACCCAAAAAGTGCTATATAAATTGTGTAGCTTTTAAAATCTTGAGTCTAACGTTTTGAAGCAAGCAGTTCATCTGTTGTGAGAGGTTCTCCAAATGTTATCTTGTAAGTGTAGCATCTTTTGTTCTTAACTGGACATGTTTTGCCTCAACAGGGCAAAACAAATTTTGTAGAAGTAGATGTTTTCATCAGGAGAAGTGTTGATCTGCTGAATGGCATGTGCGGACTTGTTCTGAGACAGAGTCCTTCATGCTGGGAGGATTCTGGACTTGGGTGAGGTTGGAGGAAGCCAGTCCTGCTGAAGGCATGTTGGTGTGTAGCTCTTAAGAAATATCAGCTCCAAACTTCTAAAGACTGTTTTGGAGCTAAGCTAAGTCAGGAGCATCTAACTACCAGTAACTACCAGGTGAAGCCCTGCTGCTAATGGGTTTTTATTCTTATTGCTTGAAATTTTAAGATAAATAAATATTCATTTGCTTGCATGGCTGCAAACTTGCATTTTGCCTTTTTTTTTTTTTTTAAAAAAAACCCCACATATTGGATATATGTATATTTCCTGGAAGAGCAAAGATTTAAAAAAAATTTTGGTTTGTCATCTATTATAAAAGTAATATAGGTGAATTATGAAACTTTTTTTTTTTTCCCCCAT